CATTTTCTGAAAGAAGAATATGCATATTGCTTCTATGATACGGGTGATGATAACTTGTATCATAGTTTTTTATATCACTCGAGTCGCCCATCCCTTTATATTTATATTTTATATATGTAGCGTGAATAACCAATGCTGATTTTATTTGATCTTTTTTATGAAGCTCTTTTTTAAGGATATTTGTAATTGAGCTTCGTGCTGAATCCATAAATTGGGGCATGTATGGGGCATCAGCATATTTTATTGAGTTGTCTTGACGTTTATTAAATATATATGCAGGATTTTTGGTTGAGGGTACTATTCCTTCCCATACTGTCATAGAATTGAGATTTTGATGCTGTCTATTGGGATCGGGTCTTTTTTCTAAAAATTCTATGGCTTTTGAGGGTGGCTCTTTTTCGATAATTCCATCTTCTATCTTGTAAATTGATCGAAAATGGTTTTCTGGTGCATATTTTACCTCTTGAACTTCGTTTTGTGGGGTTATTTCTTCTCTATATGCTTGGGTTGCTGGGCCTGGACCAGCTTTTTGGGAAATTGGTTTTGGTGATTTATTTCTTTTTGCTATTTCTTGCCTTCGATCTCTTTCTCGAATGTGGGGAATTAGAGGAGGGACGCCTTGGAGAATTGTGATTTGAGTAATTGGTTTGCATTTGAATTTTCTTTCTAAATGATCACTGAGTTTATGTGGTGTTGCAAAGTTATAACTACATCTATCACAAATTCTTTTACCTTTAGCCATCTTGATTTGTATATAATACTTTATAAAATTTTTATTTTAATTAATTATTTTCCTTGATGATGGTAACTTACAGGATATATAATACCTTTACAGACTTTTTCTTTAATTAATTATTTTTCCCTATAAGCAAAAATAATCAGAGAATATTCTTGCCCATATTTACACAATAATGGCGAGGCTTGTAGTAGGCCTTGCATGCGATTCGAAGGGTTCCACTTTCATTGGAATTCTATGGTACACGTTCTGTGTAGTGAATGTGGTAAGCCCACTGGCTCGAGTTCTGGGCGGTGTCCATTGCATGTTAAGGGCTATTATG